TGTATCCCGAGTGGCTCTCTAATGTAGTATTAGTTAAAAAAAATCCAACGGGAAGTGGAGGATGTGCGTGGACTTCACAAATTTAAATAAAGCATGCCCAAAGGACTGCTTCCCCCTGCCAATGATCGACCAGCTCGTGGCAACAGCCGGGCACGAGCTGCTCACCTTTATGGATGCCTACTCTTGATACAACCAAATTAAAATGCACTTGCCAGACCAAGATCATACCGCGTTCATAACAGACCGAGGTCTGTACTGCTACAAGGTGATGCCTTTTGGCCTAAAGAACGCAGGTGCGACCTACCAAAGGATGGTGAACAAAATGTTCGCGAAGCAGATCAGTCGGAATATAGAAGTGTATGTGGACGACATGCTTGTCAAGAGCAAGCAGTCAAAGTCGCATCTTTCCGATCTGACCGAAGCCTTTGGAGTACTACGCAAGTACCAAATGAAGCTCAATCCGACCAAGTGTGCCTTTGTAGTCTCCTCGGGGAAGTTCCTTGGTTTTATGGTAAATAACCGTGGGATTGAAGCTAACCCAGAGAAGATAAAGGCCGTGCTCGAGATCGAGGTGCCCAAGACTCTAAAACAGCTTCAGTGCCTCAATGGCAGGATTGCAGCCTTGAATAGGTTCGTGTCAAGATCAACGGACAAGTGTCTTCCTTTCTTCAAGGTTCTTAGGAAGAATGGACCATTCGAATGGACGGTAGAGTGTGAGCAAGCACTAGAGCAGTTAAAGAACTATCTCTGCTCGGCACCTCTACTCGCAAAACCATTGCCAGGAGAGAAGCTCCACTTATACCTAGCAGTATCTGATTGCGCCGTCAGCTCGGCCTTGATCAAGCAGGAGGGTGCGCGCCAAAGTCCCGTTTATTACACCAGTAAGGTCATGACTGAGGTCGAGACCAGATACCCCCAAATAGAGAAGCTGGCCCTCGCTTTAGTCACCTCGGCCCGAAGACTAAGGTCGTACTTCCAAGCGCACACTATTATAGTACTTACAAACTTACCCCTCAAGAATATCTTTCTTAAGCCTGAAACATCAGGACGTCTGATGAGGTGGGCATTGGAATTAAGCGAGTACGACATCCAGTTCGGGCCTAGAACCGCGTTAAAAGGGCAAGCAGTGGCGGACTTCATCGCGGAGCTTACCCCACCGTCCCAGTCAACCGAGTCCGACCTCTCGTGGACGATCTATGCTGATGGATCTTCCAATGAGAGGGGGTGCGGGGTAGGAATCCTCTTGCTCGCACCAGGTGGTGAGCGATTTGAGTATGCTCTGTGGTTCAACTTTTAGACTTCAAATAATGAAGCCGAGTATGAAGCACTTCTAGCAGGCCTGTGCGTTGCCAGAGGACTAGGGGCCGTGCACATCAAGGTCTTTAGTGACTCCCAATTAATCGTAAATCAGGTTAAGGAGGAGTACCAAACGAAGGACGCCCGAATGGAAAAGTACCTCAGCAAGGTCAGATCGCACCTCGATCAGTTCAAGACTTACGAGGTGAGTCAAGTTCCAAGATCTGAAAACTCCAATGCGGATGCCTTAGCCAAATTGGCGTCAGCATATGAGACCGACCTGGCYAGATCGRTCCCGGTYGAGATCTTGGACAGTCCTTCAATCTTGGAGCCAGATGTGATGGAGGTTGACACTCCATCACCCTCTTGGATAGACCCAATCGTGGAGTTCATCAAAGGAAGTTCACCGCAAGAACCGAAGGAGCAAAAGAAGATGGCATGGAGAGCAGCTCGGTTCACACTCCGTGAAGGAACGTTGTACCAACGTGGCTTCTCCCTGCCTCTGCTTAAGTGTGTTACTCCCGAAGAAGGCCTTTACATTCTTAGAGAAATCCATGAAGGAGTGTGTGGAAACCACTCAGGCGCCAGGTCGTTGTCAGATAAGGTGGTTCGACAGGGGTACTATTGGCCCACTGTGGAGCAGGATGAAAAGCAATTTGTGAAAGCTTGTGACAACTGCCAGCATTTCGCAAACATTATCCATCAACCTCTCAAACTGCTCACCTCCATCTCGGCCCTATGGCCATTTGCGCAATGGGGGGTAGACATCATAGGTCCTTTTCCCCTGGGCAAAGGACAAACAAAGTTCGCCGTTGTCGCTGTGGACTACTTCACTAAGTGGGCCGAAGCCGAGGCACTATCCCACATCACAGAGTCCAGAGTCACATCTTTCATATGGGCAAACATTTTATGCTGCTTTGGTATACCCAATGCTATTGTGACGGACAACGGAAAGCAGTTTGACAATGCAAAGTTCAGGGACTTTTGCAGAAAACTGGGCATAAGCCACCTCAGTTCGTCCCCTGCGCATCCAAAAGCAAATGGGCAGGTTGAAGCGGTAAACAAAATCATAAAGCGAGGACTCAAGCTAAGGTTGGACTCCAGAAAGGGAAGATGGGCCGAGGAGCTACCTAAAGTTTTGTGGTCATATCGAACCACCCCAAGAGAGTCAACTGGCGAAACTCCGTTCTCGCTAGCCTTTGGCTCTGAAGCTGTTGTGCCGGTTGAGATCGGCATACCGACAGACAAGGTAGAGCAGTACGAGCCAGCGAAGAACGAAGAAGAGCTACTCCTTAACCTGGACTTATTGGAAGAAAAAAGGGAAATGGCTCAGCTGCGCCTAGCAGAGTATCAAAACAGAATGGCCAGACATTACAATGACCGAGTTCGACCTCGAAGCTTCCAAGTTGGACATTTGGTCTTAAGGAGAATTCAAAGTCATGTGGGCACCCTTGACCCAAGTTGGGAGGGACCATTCGAGATTAAAGGCATAGTCCGACCTGGAACGTATATGCTGGCCGACCTGGAAGGAAGAGTGCTTGCGCATCCATGGAACGCGGAGCACTTGAAGTGTTATTAACCTTGAAATGTCAAAATAGTCCTAAAATGGACTTGTAAAAATTTTCAAGGGACGAAACTTTTTAATAAACGGAGTTATTTAATTTCATAACTCCGAGTTCGATCAGAAATTAAATGGGGGCCACGGACTCCCATAAGGCTTAAGACTTAAAATCGGTAAGGTAAAGGCAAAAATTGATCAAATTCGATCCTCAAAACCCACGGGTCCGAGGTGCGACGTCAAAATCAATTAGAACCAAAAATTCAACCCGTTAAATGTTCAAGTTAAAGGTGCGATGTTGAAGGTTCAGGAAATTCGGTCCTCTAAACCTACGGGTTCGAGGTGCGATGTGAATATTAATTATGGACTAAAAATTCAACCCTTTAGACGTTCAAGTTAAAGGTGCGATGTAGGAAGTTCAAATTGTTGCTTAGTATAATCTTCTGGACTTCTGAGTTCGAGGAGAAATATTAAAGATCAATTAAAGAAACTCATATTCAAACCTTAACGGTGCAATGTGAAAAAGTATCTCAAGCTCAATCTTTCAAACTTACAAATTAAGAGGTGCGAGATGGAAATTATTCATGGATTAGTTCCAGCTTACAAAAGCAAGTTTAAAAAGATTAAGGGAAAAGCAGTAAAAGAACAGACAGAAATGGAGAAATGGAAGTTTCATTGATTAAAAGGATAGAGCCAAGGCTTGTATATTTTGTAGCTCTGCCCAAAGACTTATAAAAAACAACAACAAAATAGACGAGGAAGCTCAGCCGCTCCCGAGGTGAGAAGATAGCTCGCCTTGAGAGCCCAGAAGGTTGACCTCCTGAGATCCGTTCTGCTGAGAAGGAGTGCCCTCCTAGGTAGTGCCGACCTCAGTAGGCTCCTGACTAGGGGCTTCGTCTTCGTCCAGGTCGGAATAGTCAGAGTCCAGATCTCTGACGTACTTGTCCACCAGGGATGCAGGACCTGGAGTGTCGTTGGGCCCAGAAGCCCATTTCTCAGCATACCTCTTCTTCAGATCGCCGAGGTCGACTTGGAGGTGCTGCATATCAGCAGCAATGCCCTTCATCAAAAACTTGAAGCCTGCATCGCTGAAGTCCTTGGCAAACCCATCAAAATCTGGGTGTTGCTTGAAGGCTGCTTCAAGAAGAGCTCCATTGGTAAGGCGCTCCTTCTCCGCCTTCAGCTCGGTAGTGAGACGCCCAATTGTAGCGTCCTTCCCTTCGAGGGCCTGGAGCATGTCGTCCTTCTCCTTAAGGAGTTGGAACTTTTCCTTCTCCAGCCCTTTAGTAATGGCATGGGCAGCTCGGAGGTCGGCCTTATGCCTCTCATCATCCCTCTTCAGCAGCTCGGCCTTGGCCTCTACCTCGGCCCTCAATATGTCCACCTCGCTCCGAGCCTTCAGCAGCTCGCCCTTAAGTGTAGTGGCAGCCTTCAGCGCAGCAGAAGAATTCTCTCTCTCTTTCGCTGCCAAGGCCTCCCTTCCATCCAGCTCGGCCTTGATCATGATTGCTGAGTGGATGGAGGCAGTAAACGCCTGCAAGACACAAAAGGCAAACACAGGTCAGATCAAGCTATAAGATGAGAAAATAAAAGTGTAGGGGTAGATCTTACCTCAACAGCGTGGTCGATGGTCCGTTGCAGCACGGACCCCGGATCACTTACAAACTTGGACGCTCTCCTGAGACAGCGATCCAAGCATGAAGCCGAGATGCGTGACACTTGGTCCTTCACCCCGGAGCTCGACGGTTCCACTCTGAACCGCATCTTCACGTCGGAAGTTCCCCCCATCCGAGCTTCAGGGTCGTCTACGAGGTCGGCGTGGCT